ACCCCCTTGTCCTCTATTTTCCGCAATCCTTCTCTCTATTTTTCTCTCAAAACTTCACACTAGCATGCTTTAAGAACCCAATTTTCTGTGAAATTGTCATACTTCTCAGTTCTCATCTCTCCTTGCAAAACTGAAATCTAGATTCTATGCATTATTGAAGGTGGCTTGGGGAATTAATCGCTTTCCTTGAATCTTGCTATTTGGTTGAGGCCTTGGGAAGAAGAACACACTCATTTAAATGGGCTAAATCTGACCTTGCGTATGAGCAGGGGCATACGAGTCCATAAAAATCCCTAATAGAACAATTTTACAAACTAAGGTTAAATCTGACTCGGGGCTCTTTGAAACAATTCAATGATTTGGAGGTCTTATTTAGAAATAGCAAGACTCGGTGGTCTTATATAGAAATAAAGAAGATCAGGGTCTTGCACTATGGAAAAAACCAAAAATGCTAATACTTAAAAAGTTTCTATTTCTTTATTTTTCTTTTTACCAACCTCAAGGACCCTTATTTCTTTTTATCAAAATTAAAAAAGATCAAACTAATTGTCTTACCTATGGTCCTAATCCTGACATAGGTTTGCTTCCTCCATGTGTTCCCTTTTTACTACATTTCTAATTCAACGTGTTTTCCAACTGTACTGAAGTTTGGATTGATATCTTGTTTAATTGTGTATATGAATAAGTTTTATGTTCATATTAACAAGTCAATCTCTTTTTTTTACGAGCTATGTTTATTTGCTTATTCATTTCTTTGTGTGGACTAGTAAGTCAATATTTCAGCTTAGAGTGACTATAGATTAGATAGATGGTTAGATAGATGCGTCTCATATGTAAGTAAGTGATATTATACTGTCTTATATGACTTTTATTCTTATTCACTACCCAAGACCTCAATATATAAATTTCTAAATTATCATACAATTATTTATACACTTATAATATTTATATAATTTAAAACTAAAATATAATTAACTTACTACGCCTCACGTATTGAAGCATACTTCTCGCTTTATGAAAAGGTCCAAAGCTTCATATTGAGCATTTGCCTTCTTAAACATTTGGTAAGATATGAAAAGAACCCACATTCTATGCAATTAAGGTAAAAGAGTTACCATAAGAACTGATGGCGAAGCACAAAACCCGAGTCCGGTTGCGGCCGCCAACCAAGTCCTTCTTAAAATGGCAACTTCCCACCATCACCATCCCTATCACTCTCATTCTCTCCGCCGCCTTCGCCATCCTTTATCGATCCTCACTTACCGGATCCTTCCATTCTTTGTTGCCCGCTCCAATCAATCCACTCGGCCCTTCCACAATCAAACACACGTCGGGGCATCGTCTTCGCCATGACTCCTTAAATGGGTGCGCTCCCTCATTCCCCTCTCTTCACCCCCCGACACCACATTCCACCCTCGAACACAGTCGACATGTTCCAAAACCTTAACCCTGATTCTTTTGCCCCCGCCAAATTTGCGTATCTAGGTGCACGCAATCGTTCCTCAAGAACTTCCCCGAACTGCGTTTCCCGAAGAGCGGGTGGGGCCTCAATTCGAGGCGGGAGGGCGGCCCCGGGTGCACTGCAGCGGGCGCACAGGAGACGGTGAAGATATCTGTCCCGCCGCCGGTGGCCCGTGACTCGGCAGGGGTTCCAGGTGCCCGATCCTCACTTACCGGATCCTTCCATTCTTTGTTGCCCGCTCCAATCAATCCACTCGGCCCTTCCACAATCAAACACACGTCGGGGCATCGTCTTCGCCATGACTCCTTAAATGGGTGCGCTCCCTCATTCCCCTCTCTTCACCCCCCGACACCACATTCCACCCTCGAACACAGTCGACATGTTCCAAAACCTTAACCCTGATTCTTTTGCCCCCGCCAAATTTGCGTATCTAGGTGCACGCAATCGTTCCTCAAGAACTTCCCCGAACTGCGTTTCCCGAAGAGCGGGTGGGGCCTCAATTCGAGGCGGGAGGGCGGCCCCGGGTGCACTGCAGCGGGCGCACAGGAGACGGTGAAGATATCTGTCCCGCCGCCGGTGGCCCGTGACTCGGCAGGGGTTCCAGGTGCCCGCGAACGCGCGACATGGCGCTCGTCCAAGGTGATGGGGTCGCCGTCAGAGGACATGAAGGACCCGCTGCGATGATGAGAGGCTAGGGTTTGCTTTCGGGGAAATTAGGTTAGGTCACCGGACCGTCCTTCGGGAGGAGGAGGACACCTGGCGGTGATGGTAGGAGGGAGGAGGAGGGGGAGGCGTTACTGGTAGTCAGGTACGAGAGGGTTCGGTTACTGCCGGACGGAGGGGACGCTGAAGATCGTCCGGCAGCGGCGGTATTCAGGGACGCGTCGAGGCTTTGTGCTTTGCGGCCGTTGGACCGCTTGGGGCGGCGAGGATGGCGGCTTTACGCGGTACCGAGGGGCTGGCTGAAGCGACTTGCGGTCTGCGGAGGGCGGCGATGATGGCGTCGCCGCCTCGGTTCGTCGTCTCTTGGCCTATCCTTCATCGTTGAGAGGGAATTGAGCTCTTGGTTTTGTTTTGGTGCTGGTTGTTGAATTTGGGGGAGAGGAGGATGAGGATTTAGTTTCTCGGTGAAAAAGGGTCAAATCTGCGGGGAACATCTTGCGGTGAAGCTTTTAATGGACGGGCACTGGCTGAAGCCTTCCTGCCGCGAACAAAATGGTGCTGAGCGGCGAGGGAAGAGGAGAGAGCGGCTTTCTTGCTTGTTTTTCTTGTTGTCACTTTTCAATCTTTATTTTACTTTTGACCGCACGTGTTTTGCACGTGAATTTACATCTTTTTTAGTTTTGAATTTTTTACTTTTGAATATTAAAGATGGAGTGGTATTAGGGGCACACCCCAACCACACCCTCTACCACACCTTCTCTCCCTCTATAGTGCATTGGGCCCCACATCAATTTTGGTTAGGGGTGTGCCCCTAACATTTCTATTAAAGATGTGTTCTGACAATGAGTTAAAGTTAGGTTAGGACTAAACCTAACCCAATTGAATGGTAAGGGTTTGTGTGACGAGCGTGTAAAGAGCGGTAAAGTCTTACCTGCTTGGGGTTGTCAATTGTAGAAGAAGGCATGTTGTAATGTAGAAACTTTAGGTGGATGCTCGAAATTTTCTAGTTAAGGTGCTAGGAGGTGAATATAGGCTAGTTGAAGGGTGAACCACCTTATACTACTTGTGCATGCTCTCTATGTTAATTTCTCTTTTTGTATACTGTTCAAAAAGTTTCTTTGATTATATGCTCAGATCAGCCTCAATTTTCTTCTTCTTTATTTATCCTTCACTGATATTTCCCCTAGAACATTCCACCACATGCCGCAATAAAGGTCCATCCTTCTTATAGGATATTGCTAATAGATTTTCTAATCTATTTGTCTAGCTATCTCCTTAGACAAATTATCTTCAAACTTAACCTCTTCATGTTATCCTTGAAAGAAATCCAAAAAACACATTCTTGATCTCTCTATAACCCTATTTACCCCTTGGGGTTCTCACAAATAAAACACAACTACAAAATCATAATAGTATCCAAAGTTTTCATAAATTTGACCTCTCTAAAATAGTAAATTAATATATACACTATCTAGTTGGGATTGGTGTCCTATTTTTATGAAACTAGTTTAGTTATTCTTTTTATATATACCAAATTCTTTTATAATTGTATATTAGGCTCCGAAATCTTCAAATTTCTTATCCCCCTACCCCACTAGCCATAAAAAAATCTATAAGTTGCTTAATTTTAAAAGTTAAATATATATATACACACACACAACTTCTTCTATCATATTACATAATTTCTTCCTTCATTTCTTTCCTTCAAATTATAATTCTTAAAAGAAGTTTTACATTAAAATCAGCTTAGCTTTTGCCCAAATTGTAACTTACCACCTTAGTTTTTTTAATCAAAATCATCTGTATTTGCTAACATGTTTTCAATGTCACACTTTGCGATACTTTTTTATTTTTTTTAAAAATCTAAAATTCCTATTTTATGCCCCTTCCCTCCTCCCTCACCACCCCAATCTAACTCAAAAAGAGGAAAGAGAGAATGAAGAGAAGAAAGGGGAGAGGGGGGAGGAGGTTGGTGGTGATAGGATTGGTGGTGAGAGAGGAGGAGAGGAGGTCGACAATGAGATTGGATAGAGAGCACAAGTGGAGGAAGGAGGAAGAGTAGAGGAAGGAGATGAGGGGTGTGAGAATGGAGGAGGACGAGGAGAGAGGAAGACGAAAGTGGTAACACATTACGGAAGTAATAAACCTTGGAATCCACTAAGGGTTACTCTTTGAATCCACAAAAAACTAGGTTACTCTTTGAATCCACAAAAAACTATCTTCGAATCCATGAAGAAAATATTAAAAGAGAAATTTTATTGATAAAAGTGATATAATAATTTTAGGATTACATGTCTCTTCTTAAACAGAAAAACAAACTAGATTCCTAATAAGACTAGAATTACAAAGAAATAGAAAGTATCAAATCATATCCTAAAAAAACTCCCTATAATTGAGGAAACAAATCATGAATTAGAATCAAATTTATTTCTTAATCTAAATTGACTCCAACATTGAATTTGTTTCCTAATCTAAATTGACTCCAACTTCATTACTAAAAATAAATAAAAGATTATTAAATTTTGGATTATGCTAAAAATTGGTGACCCTGATGTGAATTTAGAAATCTGTCAATCTAGATGGCTTCATCTTGTTGAAATAGGTATATATAATATGTTAGAAATCGTCTTGTAAATTGGGAGATATGGTCGTTTCTTTGCGGGCAAGTCAATAATTCATATGTATATGCATTTCACTCATTAAGATCCAACTTCTCCATGAATTTGCTCGTTATACATCCTACATCAGCCTCTCCTTATTGAAAGAAGTTTGACCCCGAGCTTATATTTGCTAGAATACTAGATTCCTCGATAAATATTTTTCTTCTTCTATGTCGATTAGCATCCGTCTTGTATTTAACATTTATATTTTTTATTGTTCTTTTATGTAAAACCCCAAAAATTTGAATACTTTATGATAAATAATAATAAATATGTTATACATTTATAAATAATATATTATGATGTTTGAGTATGCTAGGAACTGATTTGAGATCAATTCAATGTATATATGTATATATGTGAGTACAAATACACAAATCATGCACAAAGGCCAAGAGTGAGAATCTGGGAATTTTGACCAGTTGAGAGTTTCTATGTTTTTCTCACTGATTCATTAAGAATCTGGAAAAGTGTATAATACCAAAGTTGTAGGTCTCTTCAAGAGATTTCCAACAAATCTTAGATCACCTTATTCCGAGGTCATATGAGAAAGTTATAACCAAAATACCAAAGAGAATGTTCCTAGTCAGACTGAATTTCCAGTTTCGGGTTTCGGGTTTCGGGTTTGCTGCTATATATATACATGTTATATCACGAAAATCACCTCTTTTCTTCTGTTTTACAAACCCTAGCAGCCCCCCTCTTCTCTCTCAAACCCTAGATCCGTTCTTGGATGATTTTGGAGGAGTCGACGCGAGATCCATCGGTGTTCAGCGAAGGAGGATCATTCTCACTTGTTTTTGGGAGTTCATCTACACCCCTCAGGCGAGTAACTTCTCGCCCAACTCCACCCCCCTTTTGTTTTCATGCAAAGTTTGAGTTTTTATTGAATTTATTGGGCCAAAAATAGTATTTTCTTGTAGAGATAGTAGATCTATATGGTACATGTTATGAGAATCATGTTTTCAATTTTAAAAGCTCACCAAAGGACTTTTATCAATAAGATCTAGATCTGAAATTGCCTAAACAATTCGGTCGACCGCGGCGTTTGTTCGGTCGACCGCAACGTTTGTTCGGTCGACTGCGACATTTATCCGGTCGACTGCGACGTCTGGTCGGTCGACCGAGATGCCTAGCGGTCGACCGCCAGGCTCGTGCCAGAGTTCGGTCGACCGGATCGGTCGACCGCAGTACTCTCTGTTGTATTTTCCCTATTTTGTACATTTTTGAATATTTGTTCAGGTTCGAGTGATTTCCTGGACTATCTGACATTGGTATTTGGTCTTACTATGTACCCAGGCATGATAGAAGACCTGAGGGTACCAATTATGGATATATACACTGTTTTGACTGTGAATTGATATAGGTAGATTTCACTATGTATCCCAGTGATATGTTCACCATTTCACAGTCCTCGTGTTGGACTAAAATCCACAGTCCTCGTGTTG